GGAAACGTTTGTAAAATTAATACTATTTAGTTCTTACATCACTGAAGAAAGTATAGCGTGAACCATATCTGCAAAATTAAAGTAATGATATTTATCCACGATGACCTATCAATTTTTCCAGAATGATCACGTGTTAAGTTTATTATACAGATTATCACATTTCTTTTGTATTTGATTGTAACCTTTTAATTCTTATTAAGAAATTTCGGAATATACATTATTTTCAAAGTTTGTCAAGTTTTCAATACTCAAAGGTCTAATATTAGTTAAATGTAAATTGTCTAGTAACACACGGTTGTGTTTATCATTTAAATTAATCATACTACAACTTTTGCCTTTACCATTTGTTAACAAATGTTGTTTATCAAGCAACAGTAGCAATGGTAGCTCATTTGGTGTTTTTGTTGTTGCCCCTTTAGTAGTCAAATGATTGTTACAATCATTAGTGATTTGTTTTAAGTTTACTGAGGATGAACTGGCACTATGAGATAAAAATTGCAAAGAATTAGATTTAAACCACTTCTTTATCGATACTACTTCTTCCTGTAATTGTAAGTCCATCTTATTGTGTGTATTCAGTTGTGCACTATTTAAGTTTTTTGCAGTATATATATCATGCTTATGAGCGTCAGTATATTTAAAATTTGAAATTTGTTTATTTAATTCAAGATCATCAGTCTTATTATCTAAAATATCACTCATGCTTTGATATTTTCCTACGGAACTGATATCATGATTCAAAGATAAATTAATGTCACTATTGCTTTCCAGTTTGTTATTATTAAAGCCAAATTTGGAGTTTTTATTTGGCACATATTTTGTTGTACTTTCCACACCTCCAGAGGACGTTGACCCTAATCTGATTAGATTCATTTTTATTGGACTATTACTTAACGATTTCGATATACTATCTTTAAAATTAAATTTGCGTTTGTTTAATACCGCAGGGTCAACAGTTGGATCTTTTGCTGTATTTGATCCTTCAGCAGATGATGGTAAAGATATATTGGCCAATGGATTTTTTAAAGCCTGTAGATTCTTTAATAATTTTTGAAACTGATTTAAACTATGTATAGACAGTTCTCTTGTCTGTGAAAAATTACTATTTAATCCTGATGTAAAATTATTTGATTTTGTATTGTCTTCATTATAAAATCGTAATTTCTTACTGTCGGTGTCATCAGGATTTTCGAGAGACAAATTGCTCAGTTTTTTCATGTTAGCCTGTAGTTCTAATTCCCACTGTGAAGATATTGTTTCGCTTCCATCGACTGATCTTTTCCCGAGATGTTCTGTATCTTCTTGCAATTGGCAAGCATTCTGTAATACAATAAAATCTGTTAATTTTCTCGACAACTAAATTATATTAAAATTAAACCAAAAAGTTACGGACTATTTTACTAACATATTCTTGGACTCTATCACACTTATTAAGATGATGGGTCGTAATATCTTTTATTCTATTGTCATTTAGTTGATTAAATTCTATATCATAGTTTAGAGATTTTTGTGGACTAACTAGTTCCGCACCAACACCCGGTTCTCGAGGACCATTAGCTATAAAATCTAAAACAAAAAGAAATAACATGAATAACACACTTGAAAACAATTACTAATCCAGTTAATCTTAATAATAATAATAATAATAATACCATTATCTCGCCGTTGTTGATGTATTTGATTACTAATTTCTTCTAATCTATGCAAACTTGTGGCATAATTAGTTTTTGCGACTTGTATTGCTTTCTGTATACATTCAACTCTCTCTTTTTGTGTTTCTAACATTTGATCACATTGAGCTTTCACTTCAAAGTACGGTCGTGCTTTTATTATAGCACGATGATGTTTTTCTTCTAATTGCAGTAATCTTTTCTCAGCATCATGAAACAGTATTGCTCGTCTATGATGCTCTCTAGCGCATTCTGCTTTCTGATTCTCTGCATCCATTACCTGAATAAAGATACATTAAACTAGGGTCAGACACGCTATATGGATTCTACATTTTGTATTCAACTTACTTTAAGAGTTGCATGGTTTAACATATCTTGCCATGCCTGGTCAAAATTCCATTCATGTTGATGCGACATAAATCTGCTTTCAGCTACAGCTACAGTTTCTTTTGCTGCTGCATGAATTTCGTTTGCTCTTTGAAATAATTGAGCTTGTTGTTGACATTGTACCTATATAATTATTTTGTAGTAATTTTGACATTTCACCAAAATTTGTCAAATATTTTTTTACCTGAGCACGACGTGCAACTTCAAGTGCATCATAATAACATCTTGTTTTTTCAACACAACTGTTTCCTACTTTGTTTATGATATCCTTTAATCTCTTTGTGGTTTCGGACAATAACTGCCTAAATGCAGTATGAGCTTCCTAAACAAAAAATATATTTTATATTCATATTAGTAATTTTTCAATAGTAGTTTTTCAATAAAATAACTTACATTTAATTCTGTTTCAAGTTTATTTATGTCATCTGTCGCATCATTCAAGTTCTCCAGCTCGATCTACAATGTATTTATTTATTGTTTATAAAACTGAATACGCTATGACAAATAATTATATGGAAATGTATTCATTAAGAAAGATATTAATTTAATCATAATTATTCTTTTTTAATTTGATATTGTTAATCGACACATCTTCTATATAAAACAAATTTTTCAATGAAGGAGAAGTGAAAGCAAAGTGGAACATGGTACCAGGCTGTGTTAGGCATCATCATCGCAAATAGTAATTATATTTTTTTTAGATATATAAACGATTACAGTTATACTGTTATCAAAAACAGACTTACAAATATCAGAAACATATAAATAGAAGATGCGTCATTACAGATAATCACCTGTATACGAGGATCTAAAGATCCATCGGCATTATCCGCAACATCCATGCTTTAATATTTGACATTTAATTGAACTTGACATATAATCGTGGACGTCAATTCATTGTGAGTTTGCACCTGCACACGATCATTTCGAATCATGAAAAATGTATAACTCTCACAGCATACGATTACTTACTATCGTTTACATTTCGAAAAGGTATGATGACAAACAATTACGGCTAACATTGGCGTCAACACTTACACACTACGAAGTTGTCCAGTATATGTACATATGTACATAGTACTACGAGCTAAATTATTGTGGCAGGAGTACATACATACACACTGGTGCATACGCACAACAGGATACATATACATGTATATATAAAGTGCACATGTAGCAGAAATAAGTGGTGTGTGATCTATCCATGCAAATGTACGTATCTTAACGAGCAAAACAATGACGTGTTAACGTTAAACAATAAGCTTTGTTGTTTTTATATTATTGATATGTAGATACATACACGACTATGTATCGCTCAAAAGTATAGAGTACTTTTCATATAATTCTAGCGTATTAAATTATACATATAAACGATATCTCCTTTGTTCAAATGTTAGCAATTCCTTTGTATTTTCTATCAATTAATTGCGCCCATTTAAAACAACCAAACTGCATGGAATATATACAATAATTTTATCGCTGTTAATAGATAATAAGTTTAAAATTATTCTTGTTAGTAACGTAAGATGTACACAGGAAGCATCGAAATAAATAATTTGAAGTTAATAAAATGAATTTCTAATCAAAGTATCTTGAAATAAGTATTATCATGTATCTCCTAGTAATAATAAAAATTATTGAAATATCGTGTAGAATATTTTGTTCTAAACGCTTTAAAATTGGCAGCACTGGGTATACAGGAAATCTCTTTCTAGTTGCCCACGTGACGTCTTTTCCTTTAAAATTGTGCTGTTAAGAGGTACGTATGGCCTGGGTCGCAACAGTTTTTGAATCTATCTGCATCTGCAATTTTATGTAAATAATTGCGTCGATAGGGCGAGATTCTTCAAAATGTGATCAAGAACCGTTGTTTCATTGGAAAAAGTGTGATTTTGTTGTTCGATGAATAGCGATTGATGAGATTCTAAATCGCGTGACGGGTCGGGCTGCGACATTTAGGTCGGTGGCTGCTGATTGTGTTAAAGATTGCCAGTGACTTTTCTGTGATTCCAGAACGCAATGGGACGTTACTCTCATGAACCGGAAAACGCGACCAAGTCGTGCAGAGCACGCGGTTCAAATTTGCGAGTGCATTTCAAGGTAAATTTATTGTTCGCTAATTGATCTAACCTTTAAATCGCGGTAGCGTGTGTTTACAAAACTCGTTGTGACGGCACATTTCATTCAATGAATCCACCGATATTACTTATATAATCTGTATTACAGAATACTCATGAAACAGCACGTGCAATTAAAAACATGCCTCTGCGAAGAGCGCAGAAATATTTAAAAAATGTGATTGAACACAAGGAGTGCGTACCATTCCGTAGATTCAATGGTGGTGTTGGCAGATGTACTCAAGCCAAACAATTCGGCACTACACAAGGTAAATTTGTTCGACTCGGGTATATTTTCACTAAATCAAAAGGCCTTATTGTTTCTTAACCTGAAAATGTACAGCTGTTAATGAACACTTTCTTGTCTTAGGTCGTTGGCCCAAGAAGTCGGCCGAATTTTTACTCCAGCTTTTGAAAAATGCAGAAAGTAACGCCGATGTTAGTGGACTAGAAATTGATAGACTCGTGATTAATCACATTCAAGTGAATCATGCTCCTTGTTTACGAAGAAGAACGTACAGAGCCCATGGTCGCATCAACCGTTAGTATTTGCAGTTCATTTGTTTTGGATGCATGAAATTTTTGGATAATAATTTTGGTAATTTAATGAATTTCGTTTGTCTCTTCAGCGTATATGAGCTCTCCATGCCACATCGAAGTAATTTTGACAGAAAAGGAACCATTTGTTGTGAAAAGTCTAGAAGAAGAGGAGCCTTCCAAGAAGAAACCTAGCAAGAAGAAGCTTGCCAGGCAAAAGGAAAAGATGATGAGAGAATAAGTTTATCTACTAATTGGATATTGAATGTATTGTGGAAAATGAAGATTGCACTGTTCACTAACTATTTTGGTTTTATTTATAGTCTCCCATTCGCTCGTTAGCGAATAAGTTTTCAAAAATTAAATCGTTCGTGTGCCAATAATCTAAACTGACATTCTTTGTCTCGGATCGTTCTTAATGATCCCATGCTACGATTGAAATTATCATCAGGATAAAAACATTCTGTAACTCCATTTTATGCTTTTTTCTTTTTTAAATTTGCAGTGATAATTTAAACTTAAATATTTTAAAATAGCGCCAATTATGATAAGTGGCTCCGATTGTGACGAAATCTTGAAGCTCGGTTCAGGGAGTCTGTACAGCGCTAATCGACAAAACGTGGCAAAACGCTTAAACTGTTAGTCAAATTATCTACCGTCGATTTTGGCAATTTGAGCGTTTTGCCACTACGTCGATTAGCGTTGTACGGATCCCTCTGAGATCTCGTCGCATGCGAACTTATTACAAATGACGTTACTTTTGAATTTTCAGGAGCTTATGGCAAGAGCGACGAGAATTATCCGTATACAATATTTGCAATAATAAATCAACTCATTTTTGCATGATATAAAAGCGAAAGAATCTTCTGAACGTATTTGTGTTTTCAAAATATTTTTTTTGGATCCTTTGGATCCTGTATGCTATTTTCAGTACACATACTTTCCTTACGACAAGGTGGCTTTAACAAATATTCAATTTTTTTTTTATATTCGTAGCAACGAACACGCTTTTATGGGGTAGTGTAGTTACAGAAATTTCCCTAAAAGATTATTGTGTCCTGTGAAATGTAGGAATATATAATAAAAATAGGATTCAAATAGGATTCAGGAGAAACTGTTGTAGCGATATCGTATGAGGGGTAATTTTAACCGCAGGAAGTTGGGCATTTCTCAGAAATAATTTTTTAATTGTTACATTTCTTTTTTATATTTCAAATCTTTGCAATTGTTACATTTTAAATTAGAAACATGTAGGAGTATACAATGTACAACGGCAATTCACATTGAACGAACGATGAAACATACAAAAGTACGTAGTAAAATGTTCTCGAAAAATGATCTCTACTTATAAGTGCTGTATCTACATTGTACGTTTAATATCAGTATACAAAATCCTCACGCTTTTTTACGTTTCATAACGCATTATTCAGGGTTTAGTGTTTCAAAAATATATAGAAAATACTTCGAACACTTCGTTACATCGTAGGAATTCAAATTTCTATTTTAATTACTTCGTCTCTTCAAAACTTGCCTTTATAATTGCGTCGAGAATTTAAATACGTTTAAACGAGCGGTTACAAAGGCTTGGAAAACAAATTTTTCGTGTACAGAAGCAAAGATATGTACAACATTATAAGTCGTAGGTTTCTTTTTTTTTAACATTGAAATTAATTGTCCACGAAGTGTTATGAATTACCGTCCCTAAAATGTGGTAATCCTACACTGTCATGATCTCTATCGCCTAAGATTTCTGCTTGATTACCGTTCGATCTTGATATGTAAAATAGGAATGTATGGCTTGATTATAGCAATACTGTTGTTTGTAATATCATTCATTCGTAAACTAAATTTGTGTAGATACATGAGCGTGGGGGCGCCGGTTTCGTGTGTTTAAAATTTTCATTGAGAAATGTATACATGACTGTACATTCAATTAGATTTGATAGAATTCTCCACTGGTGTCAAGAAAGTGGTTCACGAGTTGTGTTTGGTAAGAATAAGCACAATAATCCTCCACCTGGAAGGAAAGAAATCGATTACAATTTTTTCTTCATATAGGAATAACATGTGTTATCTTCGCGGGCGTTTTCGCGGAGGGACCTACCAATTAGAAGAGCAGCGACAATGAAGGTCGGCGCTGGACAGTATATGTCCAGAAGTTGAGCTATTACGATGTTCCCAATAATACCACCAAGACGGGCCGCGACCATGGAAATAGCAATTCCGGTCGCACGTAGATGGGTTGGGAAAACTTCGGTTATTAGACAGTCCAGTGCTGCATTTCCGCAGCTTATCACACCGCTAAAGATGGCCGATACGATCAGGTTCTGGTACTTATTGTGCACGAAGTACAACCCGATCGAGCACAGTCCCGACGAAAACGTACTAAACACTGTAGAAAAGACAAAATTAATATTTCTCGAATTTTTCTTCTCTTTTTTTCTTTTCTTTTCGTTTTCTATTTTTTGTTTATTGTTACATTGTTGTCCACAAAACTACCCCCACGAACGTATACTAAATTGCGTATTCTTTATGCGCCTGTCATATCATTTTCGTTAAACATTTACGAACTTTAGTTACGTATGCATCAGTCGACAAAACTTTGCTTAAAAAAGTAAAATTCTCGATGGTCCAAAGGATCGGCAGAAAAATTTGCCAAGACAGTTTTTATCAACTTTTTAACCTCTTAGGTACGGCTGAATTCTCCGCGAGGCTATTTCTCTGGACGGCAGAGTCTGATATGTACTGTACAGAGTCTGATACTGTATATTCTGTCTGTATATACAGGGTGTTCCAAAAATGTCTCGCAATCCGAAAGTGGCGGGTTCCTCGGGCCATTCGAAGCGACTTTTTCCTTTACAAAAATTTTCTCCGAGGCACCGTTAACGAGTTATTAACGAAAAACGGTGACCAATGAGAGGCGAGCTCGGCTGGCGCGAGGCGATCGAGCCAATGAGCGGAACTGGGCTTCGCGCGCTGGTTGGCTGGGCCGCCTCGCGTCAGCCGTGCTCGATTCTTATTGGTCACTGTTTTTCGTTAATAACTCGTTAACGGTGCCTCGGAGAACATTTTTGCAAAGGAAGAAGTTGCTTCAAATGATCCGAGGAACCCGCCATTTCCGGATTGCGAGACATTTTTGGGACATCCTGTAGACTGTTGTAAATCGATGCGAAGACAAAAGAAGCGTGA